CTTTGCTGCGATTCTTGGGGATGGCTGCGTCGTGAGGTGGGGCGATGCTGCCTGCGGTGGTGACAGCATTCGGTGGTGACAGGAGTTGGGTCCGAGATCAGCTGACGAAGTTACAGCAGATTTAAACAACTGAGTGACCTTTGTTACGATTCTTGGTGATGGCTCCGTCGTGAGCCGGGGCGATGCATTCTTCGGTGGAGACGGCAGTGCCTTACTATATAGCACGAGATATGGTGCAGTGCATCTCCGAGCAGCAAGCTAAACACTTCTATACATGTTCGTGCAGGTCTGCGTTCGTGAGCTTCACAGTGTCTACTCGGGAGCCCTAAACCCTAAACCCTAAATCCTAAACTCTAATCCCTAAACCTTAAACCCTAAACCCTAACCCTAAACCATAACCCTAAACCCTAAACCATAACCCTAAACCCTAAACCCTAAACCATAACCCTAGACCCAAAGTTCCTCTCATCCCTAAGCTGTAAGCCTGGCGCAGAATCTGGCCGAAATCGTTTCAACACACGACACTCGCGCAGCCGCGTGGAGCGCCGCAGGAGAGCGAGCGGTTTAGGGTTTAGGGTTTAGGGCGAGTGTCGCGAAAGCGCTTGGAGTAGCAAGGCAACAAAATCGTCTCGTCCGCCACTCCGTCCTTCCATCCATCCAAGGGATTTTGTTATTGCTCCTCTAGGCGTGTTTTGTTGATCCTTGTTTTGATCTTTGTTCCGAGCAGGGGGGGGGCCATTATGGGGCTCAGTGGCCAAGAATTGACTCAAAGTTGGCCCCGAGTGCAGTTCGGGAGAGCTTGTGCTATCATCGTCATTTCGCCGGCGGGCGTGGTTGGAATTTGCGCAGGATAATATAGGGCCTAAATAATTCCCTGTACCATTTTGGGGGTTCCTTATTATAACTATAGCATAATATACCCCGAAACCCTATTCCAATTAAAAAGCCCCTACATTAGGTTCCTCGGGTGAAGCTCCCAGGCATCAGCAGTCAGCGAGTGAATTCCCACCCTTCGAGTCGAACTGAGGGCTTGTGCTAGGTGCCCTTCTAACCAATAGCCCTGAGCCGTAATCTCCAACCCTGAACCCTATCCATGTATGATCTCTGCTGGCGATTCCTGCGGTGTCGTGCTGATAAAACCGAAACCCCTAAACCCTAAACCTCTAAACCCCTAAGCCCTAAACCCCTAAACCCTAAACCCCTAAACCCTAAACCCTTAAACCCCCGAACCCCTAAACCCTAAACCGTGATTGTGCTGCAGCTCGGGAGGTCTCTGCGCAGAGTGCTGCTGCAGATGCACCTGCAGCACCCAGCTGCCCAGAGCTGCCGAAGGCCCACAGATTCAGACTATGAACTGTTTAGGGTTTTGGGTTTTGGGTTTAGGGTTTGGGGTTTAGGGTTTGGGCACATGGGTGTTTGTAAAGTTTCTATTTTGAACAGGGGTCGTCTCGGGTTGTAGGCCTTCCCGGGCCAATAAAGCTCAGAGGTGGAGAGAAATCCCGGCCAGCAGTGCCTGGGCAATGCCCTGTGCCATTTCTTCGAGTTCAGGTAGGTATATTCTTAATAGAATTATTATGACCCCTACGTTAGGAGATCTCCCTCGGATCTGGCCCAATGCCAAACAAGAACTGAGTTTTTTCAGCCGGTCCTATTTGTGTTGCAAGAACTTGGTGTGTTGACGCCCAGCGTGGGATGTCGAAATCAACTACCAAGGGGGCTTTTGCTCTGCCTGTGAGCATTCTCGAATCATTACCAATCTCGGGAGATATTTGTAACTCGCGACTACCAGCCTTGTTGTGCATGGCAAGTTAAAAACCCTAGACCCTAAACCCCAAACCCCTAAACCCCTAAACCCTGAAAATCAGAACCAAGGCACAGGTCTGTGTGTGTGTGTGAATCTTGAAGCAGTGCCTGTTGGAGTTCTGGTGTTTAGGATTTAGGGTTTAGGATTTAGGGTTTAGGATTCAGGGTTTTAGGATTTGGGATTTAGGGTTTAGGGTTTGGAATTTAGGGTTTAGGCTTTAGGAGAAGAGGTCGGTGCTTTTGTGAACTACTTGGAGGGTCGGGGGACTTAGTAGGTAGTTATATTACAGACTTTTTAGTACCATAACCCCAATTAGGATCCCTTTCTAGGGTATTTACAACTCTACTTACTAAGTCCCCCGACCCTCCAAGTAGGACCCTAAACCCTAAACCCTAAACCTAAGCAACTTGGCACAGAAGGTCGATCTACCGGAAACACTGGAGCTGCCAAAAGCCGCAGAGCCAAGTGCTTTGGAGAGGTCTTATGATACGGTTCAGGGTTTTCGGCTTTAGGGTTTCAGGTTTAGGGCTTTCAGGGTTTGAGGGTTTAGGGTTTCACGGTTTCAGGGTTTAGGGTTTAGGGTTCAGGTTTGGGGTTTAGGGTTTAGGATGATACGGTTCAGGAACTTCGGGTTTAGAGGTCTTTGCCTCCACATGATCAGCAGTTGATGGTCCTGAGCAGTTTATACTCCTACTTAGTTCGACCTCTATACCCTAAACCCTAAACCCTGAAGACCTTCCCCAACCTCGCACCTTCTCAGCCCTTACCTCCTAGCCCTGAGGCCCGAAGTGCAGACATAGGAGGAGTCGTTGGCTTTACCGGCCTCAGTTCATCACCGACTTCAACGGTTCAAGGCGTTTCGGATGTCAGCTCAATATTCAGGATCGAACCTCTGGGGTTTAGGGGTTTAGGGTTTAGGGTTTAGGGTTTGGGATGGGCGCAGGCCCTGTCAAGGGAAGGGGCCAGCAAGTAAGGGCTGATGAGTGTCATTACAGCCTAAATACTGCGTCAGCTGCCGCAGCCTGAGTGAATTTGTAGTACTATTCCTAAGGGTTCCTTCTTAGAATATTTTGGTATTTTTACGGTACAACACTCCGAAACCCTCCTCTAATTATAAAGGCTACTACGATACCCTATGCATCTATTTTCTGGTATGTACAAGAACCCACAGAAATTGATTATGGTAGCCGAAGGTGTGGTATAATATACCACAAAACCCTACTCCAATCATCAAGACCCCTACATTACTACGTCAGTACTCGGTCAAGAGAACAGAAGCCACATGAGTCACTTGGGATCGCAAATCCTCATGCAGTATAGGGACCTGAACAATTGGAACAGGCTTTGGGGGGTGTCTTATACTTCATTTTGAATGAGAACTCTAAGGGAAGATTGCCACTAAGAGCCGCATGAACCGTATAGATCGCTTTCAAGGGAACCCTTGTGTAGCGACCACCCCAGCGTTCATGCGCTTGGCAGGTGAGCACTACATGGTAGCCTAGATCGCAAGCCTCAAACGCTATAAGATAAGGTAAGAGAGGCATACCCGGTTTAGGGCTTAGGGTTTAGGGATATAAGATACTTAAGATATACTATAGAAAATAGTGTGTGCGGTATCGTGTGAGACCCAACACCCCACAGCCTTAAGCCTTAATTTGGCCAAGAGGTCCGATACCTCGGCCACCGGAACCTCCACCGGAGCCAAAAGTCTTCACTTCTCTGCCAGACATCGGCCAGGACGTCCTGTACGGCCCAAAGGTTTAGCATTTAGGCGTTAGGGCTTAGGGTTTAGGGTTCAGAGGCCCCTGATCCACGCTAGACTTGGGGGGTTTAAGTCTTACAGCTTTTAAGGTCTTCGGGTTTATGGTCTACCTGTAGCCGAAAAGACCTACCTTTTTATGGCTCCTTGTTATGGATTCTAGCTATAGTTCCTTAAAACAGGTAGGTCTTTCAGGCCAAGGGTTTAGGGTTTGCCTTGAGGCAACCTAGACTTGATCTGCTCATCTTAGGGTCTAGGGTTTGTCGATCAGCGAATGCGTCAACCAATCAGCTCTGACGCAAGCAACTACGCGAAAGGTAGTTGCCTGATTTGACACAAACCCTAAATCCTCAAGCCGAAAAGGCAGCCTCAAGCTTTCCAGCCCGAACCATGCTCTCTAAGCATCATAACCTTTTTTTAGGTTCGTCAAAGTCACTGTGGTATAATATACCCCAACAACCTCTTCTGATGATTCAGGCCTCAATACTCGAACCTTTTTGGCCCCTTATTTAAAAAAGCCTTCGAGGAGCCCTACCCTAATTATCAAAGCCTCGAAGTGCACAGGAAGAGACTCGCCTCCCTGAGCCGCGCTATTCGGAGGCGGGAGTCCATTTGTGCCGAGGGTTTAGGGTTTAGGGTTTAAGGTTTAGGGTTTAGGGGTTCAGTCCACTTTCTGAGGCATTTGTGCTGAGGGTTTAGGGTTTAGGGTTTAGTCCAGTTTCTGAGGCATTTGTGCTGAGGGTTTAGGGTTTCTGAGGCAGGCTGTAGGTCAGAGTGTCGAACTCGGCTCTGCACAAGGTCGTATATCCTGATTTCCACCCTGTGACCCTGAATATCGCGGATTTCCTCTTCAGCTTTCGTGTGCGACTGACAATGCAGAATAGCTTCCAAACCGACAACCTTGCAGTTCCTACAACCTTAAACTCCATAACTCCTAAAACTCCAGATCCCACTGCCCCTGAATCCTTTGCAAATCGAAACAGGTCTACGTCGAGTGCGTCCGGAACAGTGCGCTCTTCGATCGCTGCTGTGTTGGGGGCTTTGCTGTCCACGGGTTCAGGGTCTAGTAAACCCTAAACCCTAAACCCTAAACCACTAGGGTTTCAAGGCAAGGCTTTCAGCTTGATTCCTTCCGTGAAGGCTTTACAAAATTCGAGATTGCAGCCCTCAGCCCGAAACCCAACCTCGATGAACCTCAAAAAAGAGTTATTAGAAGGGTTTAGGGTTTAGGATTTAGGGGGTTAGGGTTTAGGGTTAGGGATTAGGGTCTAGGGATTAG